CTTTCAACTGTAATTTATTTCTGAAATATAAATGAAATACTGGTTGAAATATCTAATTTATTTTACAAATATATAATAAGTCTTTAAAATGTATATATAGATTTCACAATATGAACCTGAAATATTTAATTGAAATAAATATTTTCTTTATTGCCCGTGGAATGAAACTATGTGTTACTAAAAATATGTATATTAATAGATGCAAAAAGATCTATGCATTTCATACTTAATGATCTAATGCAATCATTAATTAAGAGAAATATAATAAAAAGTTTATCTCTCAAAATAATATATGTTTGTACATTTACTATAAGTTTATCTTCTCTCATAAATATTAATCGTAAGAAATAGAATGTCAAATAATTGATAGAAGTTTAGAAACACGAAATACCGTTTCAAATAATAATTTTCAACACATCTGAAAAAAAATACTTCAATTAATAATTTTCGATTACCACAGCATAAATTTTTAACACACGTATACAAATATTATTTCATACAAATAAGAATATTTCGTCAACGATTTCCAGTATTTTCCTAAATATTTTTACCCGGATGCGATTATAATTCGCCATATTTATGTATCAAAATGCCAGTGTACGAACGGTGTGAATGCAGTGATCGTTAAAGAGAGAATTGCATAAAGATATTCACAACAGTTGCGCAATCGTGGAAAGCAGTTTGTCAATGTGCCGGGCGTTCGAGTGCAAGTGAAGTCGCACGTTTCCACGGTATTTGTCATTCGAATGGTTTTTCGAATGCATTTTGCCCATTATTGGAGCGAGCAGCGGTGCAACTCTGTGTCCGACGCAAATGGGTTCATGCACGCGGCTAGGCTGCGCAAGGTGCACGTGCAGAAAGTATCCCAAAGCGGCGCTCGAAAGTATCGTTTCGCTGTCAAAGAGGTAACGGTTGGCACGATGCTCGCGCGAATTCTTCTTCTTTTCTACATTCGCGGACCGTTATAATAGAAATGGCGCATATCTCGCGAGTACCGGTTGATCCAGTCAGATGCCGCAAGATACACCGACTGCATGTGTTGCCTCTCCTCTCTCTCTCTCTCTCTCTCTCTCTCTCTCTCTATCTCACTATCTATCTCTTCCTCTCATCCCTATCTCCTTTTTCTCTCTCTCTCTCTCTCTCTCTCTCTCT